ACTACCAACTGGCTGGACTAATGTTTGGGCTGTGGGTTCCCAATTTGCCATCAACAGATAGGTTGGGCTTACTTTGGAAAAGAAAAATAACAATTTAATGGTTGGACTAGGGACTAGGAACAAGGAAGGAATTGAATTGCTCGTGATTAATTCAAAGATACGGGTAACAAATGAAGAAAAACGAAAGCTTCGGGGTGAAACTGTCGAAGTCACTAAAAATTTAGGGCTTCAGCTGGTGCACATTTTCCAAGTATAAAAGCTAACCTTTTCCTTTGGGCAACGAGAAACCCTAATTCTATTGAAGGCGGCAGACTCCGAGTGCCTCCAATCTTCTTCTCTTCTACACCAACCATGGTAAGATGGATGGATCCCCCATTGCCTCCGTGTTCTTGGTACTGATCTAGATCCTTCTCTTTTTGATCGCTTTATTTGTCTTCATTTGGCAGACCTTCAAGCGCAGGAACGGAGGCCGTAACAAGCACGGCCGCGGCCACGTCAAGTTCATCCGCTGCTCCAACTGCGGCAAGTGCTGTCCCAAGGTATTATTCACTTTGCGTGTTAATTTCTTCAGCTTTTTTTTTTTATTTTTTATTTTTATTTCTGGTTCTTGATTTGATTTCTAGCTTCTTCTTCTGGGTTTATTTTTGTGATCCAAAAAGGACAAGGCTATCAAGAGGTTTCTTGTGAGGAACATTGTGGAGCAAGCAGCCGTTCGTGACGTTCAGGACGCCTGCGTCTATGATAGTAAGATTTTTGTTCTCTCTAAAATTGTTAATTACATATTTGTGGAGATCTATTCTCTTGTATTGTGAATACACTAATTTTGTTTTGGTTAATATAATGTAGCTTACACCCTGCCTAAGCTGTATGTGAAGATGCAGTACTGTGTTTCCTGTGCCATCCACTCTCACGTTGTGAGAGTTCGCTCTCGAACTAATAGGAGGAACCGTGAGCCACCACAGCGCTTTATCAGGCGCAGGGTATGCGTCTTACTAAATATTTTGATTCTTTAACTCTACTTTCACAGTAGTAGTAATTCAGTATTAATTAATTCTTTGGCAGTATGTTGATATGATTATTTCTTCTAATAAATTTAGAATTAGTAATAGTTGCCTAGTTGCTATAGGTGATATATGACTGTAAACAATTATGGGAAGCTGGTCTTTACTGATATATGCATTTTGTACGTTAATCTTTGGTGAATCTACAAATACAATCATGTCATTGGCATTTTGTTAATTCTTTTCTACTGGGAAAATTTGACACATTGTTATACTTGCAAAATCTGGGATTAAGACATGTTTAGTTTTCATTTCCTTCTTGCTCTATTAATCTCTGGCTTTCTGTATCTGGTTAAGGCAAGGAGTCATTAGACTTTCTGGTCCTTTTGCTTCTTTATGTGATGCTTTAAAAATTTGAAGTTTGGTACTATTTTATTTGTTTCTGCTGTGAACTTCATTAATATTGGTTTTGATTAAAAATTTTGTTAAATCTTTTCAGGATGACATGCCAAGGCCTGGTCAGCCTGGTCAAGCTGCTCGTCCTGGTGTTGGAAATCCTGCCCGTGCTTGAGTTTAACAAGTTTCAATTGGATCTCTATAGTGTCATGTTTTTAGTTGCTGCTTGAATTTTGAGAACTCTAGTTATGTAGAAGGTCTGGGTTTACTTTCGTTAAATCTGCAAATCTGCTTGACAGAGTTTTGTTGAACCGAGGAGAATACTTGTTGGAAATTGCATTTTTATTTCCTTGATTACTTTTTAGGCTTGTTTCTACTGCATTAAGCTCATTTACATTTCTTTAAAAATTTGTTGGTAATTTGCATCAGTTCATTTGCTTCCGACTGTTTGGTGCTTGGTACTGACGCCAAACGTAGCAATAGTTGCAATTGAATTATATTTATATATATAAAAGTTGCGATGTTAGCATTGTGAATGTCATCAGAAATATTAACATCAGTGTGCTTGTTTAAAGAATGCCATTCTCAATTTCGCAATGATTTGTAACATTAACCAATTCTTGGCCTTAGAAACGCAAGTAACATGGGTTGCAATCTGTCTTATTATTATTTTTTTTTATGAAAAAAGGTAATGATAGAAAATGAAGTGCTTAATTTGGGTAGAAAAACCATTGATCCAGAATCCAAATTCAGAAGAGAACCAGTATTTTGATCCAAAGCCAACGGCACTTGGAATCAACTTTTCAGCAGCAGTCTAGTTCCCTGGCGATCTGGATGCATTTTGCCATTGGACAGTTTGTCTTGATCGCATTGGAGGCAATGTGTGACCTACTAGCAACATATCCCTCCTGCAAATCAATCACACCCATCATCATATCATATCCATCAAACAAATTGAACATCAAAAGGAAAAGGAAATGACTGAATCAACGAAACTGATTGGGGAGTTTCCTTTAAGCTCTACTTATTATTTTAAGTTGACAAAAAGTGACCCGCATTTCTTTAGAGCAAATCCCAATTCAAGGATAGAGAATGGAAGAATACCTTGCGAATGGCACTCATAATGGTTCTTAGAGGAGGAGAATTTACTTTTGCACGACTTGCCACCTGAGAAAGTTGAAGACAATCTCAGTAACAAATTCCATTCAATCAAGGTGTAAAAGCCGTAGCATTAGAGTAGAATACATCCTGCTTGGACAAAAAAAAAAAAAAACCAAAAAAAAGAGAGGATATTCAAGATATCTATGTAATGGACCTCATCCAGTTTGATATATCCAAATGGTAATCTGGGATCACTTTCATCCACCATCAGTTTCAAAAGTTGTTCTAGATCTGTGCCTGCACCATTGCCCACCCATCCCCATTGCTGAGCCAAGTTTAGCATCTCCATAATGTAAGTAGGGCTGTGAAGAGGTCCTGTCCACAGGGGCCCCGAAACAACAAGTGATGCAGCATCCTAGAAACTTGACACAGCAATTTAGTAATCCTTGGCAATTGTGCATGGCAATAATTAACAATGTAAAAAGATAAACAACAAAAGCATGCTTTCATAATTTGAAGCAGGGAAGCAAAACATTCGGGTAGATCATTAAATCATGATACCGTGTCCTCAGTGCAAGGGCAAATGATTTGACCAAGTTTGTCCCATGAAATTGCCTGAGAGTTTCCACACTGGGTGCAGTAGCAGATGAAGCCATAATTCCTGTCACAAAGGAGTAGGTAAGAACCAAAAAACACACTAGTACTGCTCTATCCAAAATCATATATTACCTGTTTTCAGTCAGCTTCCCTCGATTCAAACGGAGCAAGACCCTAAAAACAGGTCCGTGGTAGGAGTAGTATGAAAAAAGCGGTGTAACATGAAATCCCAGCACAGAAGCCTCCCTGACCGCTCCACCTATGAGGACTCGCAAACCAATCTCATTTGCATAGGGCATAGGACGAACATATGCTCCATATGCTGCTAGAGAACTACAAACAGAAACAAATGGACATAGTTGATAATGATATAATCCCACTAGGAGCCATTGAAGAAACAACATACCAAATATATATGATTCATAGAAGACAGCACATTGATTAAACTATGAAAAGGTAATATGCCAATTAAGAACAAAATTGATAAGCAGCAAAATTTTGTAAGGATAATTGCGCATAACAATATAGTAAAATTCAGCAAGAGCTTGAAAAGAAAAAAGAGTAAAGGGCGGGAAACTGAAACTGACTGATAAGGGCGGTGGCCTCCGGATGAATAACCATCAGTTGATGTTACATAGATCAACCCATCAAGCTTCAAAGAAGTAAAAGCAGACCTAAAGAAGTAGGAGGAATCGCTCCCAAAGGAATCAATGTCAATAAAATCAAAGAAATCCCTTTGCAGATAACAGTGGGTCAAGATCCGATTGGCATCAAAATGCGTGACTGCCCATCTCTTCTTATCACCAGAACCTCTCTCTACCTGTGATAAATTCTGCAGAACAACCCTCCTGTGGCTGTCGTTTGCGTCGTTGGCGAGAACAAAATCGGCATCGGCCTCGACGAGATAGCGGAGGGATCGAATCCCACAACCGCACATTGCATCGAGAAGGCGCAAATTCCCCTTGACTTGCTTGTAGAGTGACGCAGCGAGGACGCCGAGGTCGCGGCCTGTGGCACTCTCATGTCGGAAAAAGGTCTCTCCAGTGTCGAAATGGAGACCCCTTTCAATTTCAATCACACGATTGAATTTGCAGCGAATAATTTTGTTGATTGGAGGCTTGAATTTGGATTGATTAGAGGCAGGAATTAGGGTTTTCAATTTGGGAGTGTAGAGTATTTGGGAAGGGGATAGGGTTTTAGGATTAGATATTGCTATTAACATGGCGGGAAACAGTTGGGTAAATCGCTATTCCTAATTCCTAATTTCTAAACTAAAAAAGGGAAAGGTAAGTGATTGGTAAGGCGTTTTATTTTTAGTGGGAATTTTTTCTTTTCTCTTTTATTTTTGAAAATATAGTGGGATTTCTTTCTTTTCTATTTTTATTTTTAAATAATAATAAATGGGATTAAAATTTAAGAAGAAAATTTGTAACAAATGATTCAATATAAATCATGTTATTTAAAATATTAAAAGATAAATCTTATATTATTTAATAATTAATTTTTTTATTTTTTATGACTCATATTAATATATATACATATTAATTTAATAATATAATTTATACCATGTTATTGATATTAAATTTTCATTTTAAAATTTCATCTCCCCATTATTACTCTTTATTTTTTTGGCAAAAAAAAATTTATATATATATATTTGTACGTTTCATAAATTATACAAAATAAAATAACTTTTTTCTATTCTCAAACTTTTTTCCACTCAATTCAAAACTTGAATTTAAAATTTTTAAATTAAAACTTTAAACTCTTAACGTTGAACTACCCTATTGATTTCATATATATATATATGCAATGTCAACATTTGTGATTGATCAATTGATTTAGTTTGTAAATCCCCCAAAAAGGAATGATTTTTTTTTTTTTTTATTTCTACATATTGTGACGCTTGATTTTGATTAATTGACATGCTTATTGAATATTCGAAAATAAAGTATAAGAAAACTCCCACTTATACTAGGTTGTCGTTGGAGTGACGTTTGGACTTTCCTGGTGTTGGGTGTGAGTGGTGACAATTAATAATAGGATTTGAGAATGACAACAGAAAGTAAGGTTTTAGCAAGTTGTGTTTGGCTTCATATAAGAAAACACGGGGGTTTGCTGATCTGTGTAGATAATTAGAGTGATTTGTTGCTTAGGTGCATGTTGTGGACTATGGAGTGAGTGGCCTTTTGCTTCCTCTTTGCAAATTATTTCTTGCTTGGAAAAAGGGAAATCATATACAAAGACAATACCCTTCTTACATTTTTGCTTAGGAGCTTCCATTTCTTGAGTTCAATTCCAGCTGAAGCTGCTCTTCAATTTATTATGGATGGATTTATTTTATTAGTTTCTAATAAAATGCATTGATGTTGAGTGTTTTTTTATTAAAAAAA